TCTCTCTCTCTCTCTCTCTCTCTCTCTCTCTCTCTCTCTCTCTCTCTCTCTCTCTGTGTGTGTGTGTGTGTGTGTGTGTGTGTGTGTGTGCCTATGTGCGTGTGTGCGTGCGTGTGTGCGTGTGTGTTTGTGTGCGTGTGTGCGTGTGTGCGTGTGCGCGCTTCGGCCCGTTTCGGCCTGCTGCTGAGCGCTCCGTGATAGTGCCGGTATCATAACTACAGTGGTTGGCCGTGGTGTCATGCCGAAAGGGGGAAAAAAGGGAGGACCAACGGACTCCCCGGGGGTACCTTTCTGGTTACTCTGGTTTCACCTGCATTTGAAACTGGGGGCCTGACTGGACTACACAAACAGAGTTTCAAATGCATTTTCGAACTCTAACCCTGACTCCGCCGTAGTTTTCCCTTTTATATTTTTTTATAGAAATTGAAACCCACTTATTTGGCCCTGAAACAGGGTGACATTTTCAGGGCCAAATAAGTGGGTTTCAAGTTTCAATTTCTTTCAAAAAATCTAATATGTCCCTTTTGACGAAATTGCTTAGAAGGGGGCAAGCTTGAGTATATGGAACGCGAGTTTTGGTCATATTTTGCAAGTAGTGTTAAACCCCCAGTACTTGGCCCAGTTATCGATGCCGAGCCGGGATACCCCCTGCGCGCCAAGTACCATCGACGTCGAATAGCTAATTTATTTTTGTCATGTGTTATTTTATGAATTTCTGTTAGTTGAGGGAGAGCACTACTTTTGCCGAGCCGCCCGGGCACCATTTCGCTTTCATTTTGGCCGGGGCTTCCAGCCATTGTGGTTCGGTGCCCCGAAGCCCGAAATTACTGGCGCCTTAACGTCAAACGCCCGTGGCGGATAGCTGGGCCAAGTACTTGTAGTTTAAGAAGCAAGTGTTGGCCATTCCTGTCCTTTTTTTTGGGGGAAAACTAGGGCCCAGTCAAGGTTTCTAGTTTTAAATGCGTTTCAGTCACTGTTTCGCCAAGTTAGCGTGAACGTATCCAGCTCTGCTTAGGTTTGGGTGGGGATGTGTTGTATTCGAGGGATGCCTGAAGTGGATTTAGAATTTAAGGGCCTAGGGTCTTCAACCCCCCGGAATAAAACGCCTCGTTATGATAGCTGTATTTGGAGCAACTTTCCGACCACATGCAGTAAAAATGACTGGGCGTTCTATTTGGGTGAAGATGGCAGTGGCACCACCCATTCGCCAACATTTTGAACGCATCTGGACTCTTTCGCTGTCCAGATGCAGTCCGAGTCTTGGAGGGTGGCCAATTGTGCAACTAGGCCCGAGTAACTCCTCATCCACCTGGATGGGTAACGTCAGTTGGACCATTTTTTTATTTTTTTTCTTTATAAAGCCGGCCTCCACCCACTGCCTCTGGTGGGCTGGTCCTGGTGTTATATATTTAATAAAAACAAGAAAAACAGAACGAGAACCTCAGTTGAGCAGCTGAACCAGAACAGTTGCTATAGTTAGGCTGAAAATTCCGGAGACAATAGGGCCTTGCTCCACCACTCACCAAATACGCAAAATGAGAGGGAGAAGAGGACAACAGTCAGAGAGGGACTCAGAAGAGGAAAACAAATGAGGGGTTGTGTGACAAACTGTTTCATGGGACTCATCAGGAGGCTAAGGGTCTCGCTCCACCACTGTTCGCTATACAGAATTTCGGAGAGTTCGTGTATAGCTGTCAGAGTACCAAAAAACGGAGATATAGTGTATAGTCTGCGCCGTCGCTCCACTTACTATCCGCTATATAGCTCTCCAATTCCTGAGTTCACTACAAAACACCCTAAGAGCACTACAAGACAGCAGTTTGTCGGCCCAGACTCCAGGCGGACTATCCGATTTCGTGTTCGAACGGCGGCCTCCTTCGACCACCCTTCGAGGAGTATCCGAGTAACGACTTTTGCAGGCTGGGAACTATACAAAAATGTAGAGTGCTATCCATGGCCGATTTCTGACAACTATACAACGGAGTTTTCACGTGTATAGTGTATAGTTAGTGGAGCAACGCCGAAGTATACAATTTTGTATAGTGTATAGTAGTGGAGCGAGACCCTGAACCCTCCTATACAGTCTGCAGAATCACTGTAAGTGATAATCCACCTTAACCCCGGTTTTGGTTAAGCATCAACGACTTCCCGACAACTGATACCCCTCTGAGGTGGTGGGGACCACCGACCACTGCACTCAAGGTACCTGTGACTAAAATCAAAGCAGTCTCTGGGCCTAGCCACACCACTCTGGAAATGTGAAAAAGACAAAAATGTGGCGGGTGCATCTGGCCATGTTCTAGCGGGAAGTTCATTCTCATTTTGGACATTTAAAGAGTGGTGTGGAGAGGCCCTATCACTCGCCCACACCAGATGGAAAACTCTACAGACTGTCGGTTCACACCCCCATCACACGCCAGCAAAACACCCACAAAACACAGGAAGTTCTGTCACAGCCAAAACATACAATCCAGGCACAACGTTGGCATGAGAGGCACAGCTCGGCCTCATACTGACGGCCATGACCACTGACGATCCACCTGACCGGAGAAAACTGTATATATATCACAATGTTGAAGAGTCTCCCCTCTGTAAGTAGGACTACCCACTGGGAACAGTGGTTCGGGCGAGATGAGGGAGGGGAGGATGGGGAATGCAAGGCAACAGTAGTTCTTCATATAACATGACATAAACATTTCTATGCTTGCCAGGGATAAGCAACCGGACTGGTACTCGACAGAATAGAAGGGGCAGTATGGTTTTGTGTGAAATTGTGTGGAAACAAGAGAAAGAAAACAAAAAAAAGATTGCTGTTTTTCGGAGTGGCCCGTCGGGCCCGATTTCGTTCAATGAAAAAACAGCACGGAGTCTTAAACCACTAGTACACGGCCCCAGCCTTGCAGTCCGAAACTTTTCGCCACAAGAAAAACAGTCCACAAAAGTCGAACGCTGGGATGCCGTTGATAAATTGGATCAGCGGTCGTGTTTTCGTTTCGTGCTTCCAGAATTCGAGGTGTCAGGCCCGCTGCCCAGGTGCCCATGTACATGGTAGTTTCTTTATAAAAGAATAGAGAAAACTAGGGCACAGTCATGGTTCTCAGTTTTAAATGCGTTTCAGTCACTATTTCTTGAATGTTGCTCCAAAGCAAGGAAAATCGTGAATGTATACAACCCATCTTTAGGGTTGGGTGGGGATGCGTTGTATTAGAGGGATGCCCGAACTGCATTTAAGAACTAAAAGGCCCTAATTACCCCTTCTTTTAAGTCCTATTTGCTCTTTGTGCCAGTTTGTGGTCCTGCAATTGCTGCTGGTTGAATGAATTGCTGGGGGAAGTTGGAGAGGGGTAACCGTCGCAAAAGCTGTTACTGTTGTTTGCTGCTGTTACTGATGTTACTGCTGCTGCTGCTGCTGCGGCTGTTACTTCTGTTACTGATGCTGTTACCGCTGCAAATGCTGTTACTGCTGTTGCTGTTACTGCTGCTACTACTGTTACTGCTGTTACTGCTGCTACTGCTGTTACTGCTGCTGCTGCTGTTACTGCTGTTAGTGCTGCATTTACTGGTGTTGCTGCTGCTACTGCTGTTAGTGCTTTTACTGCTGCTTCTGCAGCCGTTACTGCTGTTACTGCGGCTGCTGCTGCTATTACTGCTGTTACTGTTGTTACTGCTGTTACTGCTGTTACTGCTGGTACTGCTGGTACCGCTGGTACTGCTGTTACTGCTGTTACTGCTGCTGCTGCTGTTACTGCTGTTAGTGCTGCAGTTACGGGTTGTACTGCTGCTGTTACTGCTGCTACTGCTGTTAGTGCTGCTGTTAGTGCTGCTTTTACTGCTGCTTCTGCAGCTGTTACTGCTGTTACTGCGGCTGTTGCTGCTGTTACTGCTGGTACTGCTGGTACTGCTGTTACTGCTGCTGCTGCTGTTACTGCTGTTAGTGCTGCAGTTACTGGTGTTACTGCGGCTGTTACTGCTGCTACTGCTGATAGTGCTGCTGTTACTGCTTTTACTGCTGCTTCTGCAGCTGTTACTGCTGTTACTGCGGCTGCTGCTGCTGTTACTGCTGTTGCAACTATGTGTGAGTGAGCTGTTGTTGGTGAGCTGTGTGACCAAGGGTTTGTGTTCGAGTTCTAGGAACCAGGACCGGGTATGACATTTGGAATGCATGGAGACCACTTCACAGCACAGATACTCCCCAGTATCACGTCTTGAATGCATGGGTGCCACTTCTTTGTCAAGGATGGTACTCGTAGAGCGATAATGCAGCGGAGCAAGGCCCAATTTATGGAAGACCCTTGTTATCCCGTCCCATTGCAGAACTGAGAGAGGCCACTGGCCAGACGTCTGCTAGGTCCACCTTTTTCTGTATAGACGTCTGGGCCCACCTTTTTCTGTATATGGGACGCTGGACCCGTTTCCCAGCAGGTGATGCTCCCCACCAATAGATGGAGCCTCTCCCCAGGTGTTAGTGGTGTCTGCTCTTATCAGCAGCCCTAACACTGGTGGGGGTGCTTTAAAAAAAAACAAAAAAAAGTCTGCTGGGTCCACTAAACATTTTACGGGAATCTATGCGTATTTGGACTGTAATGTGGACCAGATAGATTCAGACTGAGCGGGCATTTTTAATGTAGACCTACCTGAACTGTTATCCCGTCCAGATACTCTTGGAACGTTTTGTGCAGGGGAGCCTAGGGCCAATGTACAGCAGACCGATTGTTTTTTTGATTGATTTTCTGATTGGTTGATTGATTGATTTTTTGATTGTTTGGTTGATTGATTGATTGATTGATTGATTGGTGGGGGAGGGGTCTGCCCCTTCCCCCCT